GATTGACACCTGCCAGGTCAAGAGAACAAGGTACTGTCCGAGCGTGGTCAAGGCCAAAGCTGTGAGGGAATTAGGGTTTTGGGTTTTGGGTTAGGGATTTCTGGGCTGTAGGGGGTGATCTCAGTCTCGGTATTCAATCGCATGAGCTTGGTGGCTTCGAGTCTTGACGTCTTGCTTTGGGCTCCTTTCCGGGTAACATGTCAGTCATTGTTTGGGTGTTCAGGGCACCAGCCCTGAACTCCACTTCTGAGATTTGTTGGCTTGTGCGTCGTCTCGTATAGATGCACTCCTCTGAGCCTTCTTGGCAAGAATCCCGATTCTCTGAAACTCCTAAAGCAGACTCTAACCCCAAGCCCAGAATAAGAAGATTTCTGTTTTGTGTCCGTTCTTCGCTTTGAGTATCTTCGAGTGTTTGAGCGTTTCGGTTTTGGTTTTGGTGAGCCCTCAGATCTCCGGAATGTATGTTCACCCCGACTTCAACGTTTGATCTAAGACTACAAACCTCGAAACCCGAAGAGCACCCTAAACTTTCCCTGAACCCTAAACCCTCAACCCTCAACCCTAAACCCAACCCGAAGAGCATAAAGCATCACAGTCGATCCACAGTTCCTAAACCCTAAACCCGAAGAGCAGAGAAGCTTCACGGTCGATCCACATTTGCAACAAAAAAACAGGTCTGCAAATCCAAAGCCCCGTTCAGGCTCTCTTAAGGCCGTGGTCGCCGTTCCGACGATCCTCCGGAAACCGCCGGCGATGTGATGAGGTGGGGTCCGGAATTCTAGAATCCCAAACCCCTACACTCTGAACCCGCATTCTCTGCATGGAGGGAAGGGATTCAGTCTCCCTCTCTGCTTGAACTCCTTGACTGGGGCCACAGCCAGGGAGCGGAGCAGGGAGCGGAAAGATAAGCCAACACCCTCCCTGTGCTGATGTTGTAGGCACGCAGGCACACGTGAAGTGTGGCGTGCGCTTGCTCCGTGGAAGGAACGCCTTCAGTGAAGTTGCGTGGTCGTCTGTTCTGCCAGGACCTTCCTTTGCATTTGTGAATCATGCTCAAGCTGCGAGGGTTCTGCAGGCATGAGACTCCTGGTGGTGTTGGTAGCCTACTTGGATTTGTGCTCTGCGAATGTCCGGCAGCAGTGGCCGCAGCCGCCCCTGAGGCGAACTCGCCACCACTGCAATGCATGTGTCCTTGACGAGACACCCCGTGAGACTTGCGACTTTCAGCTGGAGAGGACATGCACAGAGAAGGCAGGCTGCCTTCGACCGGATGTTCGTTGCCTTGAAGCGCCCCTTGGTGACGATCACATGAGGTGTTGCTGTCTCCCGGAGAACGGGGTCACAAGCACTAGCCTGTGCAGTGTGGTGGATTTCTTCCACATGCCATTCCGGTTTAATCATTGCATCTTGAAGTGTTGTGAGCATCACAACTGTGGGAATGGCTGCGCAGCAAAGGAGGAAGGATGTGGCGACGCCTTGTCTCCCTTTGAAGGTCCTTGCCGCATTGTGGCCAATGCCACGGCGGCACAGCAAACCGATGCAAACTGCTGCCTGTGGAGCAAGGGTGTCAGCTGCACCTCAAGCCAGCAAGAGCCGTGCTGCCTGGAAGCAGCTGTGCATCCTGGGCAGGTGTGTCAGCCCACCCAAGCCGCCTGCATGATCAAGCCAAGCCCATTGCCTGCAAGCGGTTCTGGGCTTTTGCTGCCAGTATGTATGGTGGTTGTCCTGGTGCTGGTTGGTCTTGTGGCAGCTGTGGTGATGCCTTGTTCAAGGCGGCAGCCTGGCCATGCAGGCAGAGAGCGCCTCTTGCGCGAAGCAGGCCCGGCAGTCTCGCTGGTGGAGGTTCCAGCTGCATCGAAGCGATGTGTGGTCGTAATTTCTTGCGGTAAATTCACCGGGGGCAGTCCAAGCCTGGATGCCATCGATTCGGCTCATGACCAGGGATCGCGGGTGTGCAAACTCTTCCAGGACGAACTTGGTTTTGATGTGGTGCAGCATGAGCAAGATGTGCCGACAACTGCTGCCTTCTGGCAGATGGTGGCGAGACTGTTGCGAGATTTGGACGGAGAGCCACACGTGCTGCTGGTTCTGTACTTCATCACCCATGGAGTGGAACACGACTGCAACTTGCGCATGGCCATGAGCGCTGCGGCACCCCTCGTGCTGGATGACGAGTGGTACCTCACCAAGGTTGACCTGCAGCATCGGTTCCAGACAATTGACAACAGCTCCGAAGCACAACGTCTCCACAACTGCAAGCCACTGGCGTATATGAATCTTGTCATCTTTGCGGACACCTGTCGCAGCCCGCCGCCGCAAGAAGCAAGGACTGCCAGTGGTGGGATCCCGCACTGGCCCAAGGCGTGCCATCTCCAAAAACGAGACAAGCCTGCACGTATCTGCTTCGTGCATGCGTGCGAGTATCATCGCCCTGCTTTGGGACATTTCACGGAGGCCTTCCTCCAATTGGCCCGGGTACCCCAAAGCCTTGACACTTTGATCGACTCCATGAGGGAAGAGCTCGAAAAAAGCACGGGTTCAGGGCGGCAGCAGCGCGTTTGCTGCGACTCCGGCAGTCTGAACCTCAAAGACGTCTACCTGCATCCCGCTTCTGGCTTGCCTTCAAGTTCCAGCACAATCCTGGGACCGACCGGCTCAGAGGGACCCATCTCTGAAGTATCGGCATGCTCGTAGCGACCGCACAAGTCGTGTCGCGCTGCCACTGCCTTGTTGCAACTCAAGATCTGGCGCAGCTCGCGACAGTCTCTGACCACATCCAATCAGAGTCTTGCTCCTGACCTCCTCAGAGATGAAAGGTTCGCATGTGCCCGGGGGCTTTTACTGTACATGCTCAGCCGTAACCCTTAAAGCTCTTTTACACGCAGCAGTTGGTGCATTATCCCGTGCTGTGCTACCCACATCTTACAACTCCAGACCCAAGCCCCAAGCAGAATCCGTAAATTCCTGAAACCACGAGCTGTGCCTCGCGGCGCGAGATTCCAGGCCTGCGTGCACCCGGTCCAGGCTCGGGCGTGTTTGGGGGGGGCTTTGGGCATTCCCAAACCCTAAACCCTAAACCCCATTCATTTCCGCAGGCTCTACTGCAGGTCTGAGGCTCCCATCTTGTGTCGGAGCATCCCAGCCGTTGACGCTTCCTCTCCAAGGGAGCTTGTGTTCTTAGAGTTTTGGAGACCAGTATAAAGGCGAGGACGTGCATAAAGGCGAGGATGTGCAACCAGCTAATTGTGAAAGGGGAAGTTGAGAAGAAAGCAAGTTCTCCGCAACTCTCTCAAACTGACGTTGGGCAGACGTTGCTCATGAGAGAAAGAGCTGTAAGTGGAGCTTCACAAGCAGCCAGGAATGCAGAGCCATGTGGGCAGAGATTTTGAACAACCCTATCGTATCCAAAGTCCCATTCCCGATCTACTGTGGATACTTTTCACTTAGGGCTTCGCTGTGTGTATGTCCATGGCACCAGGTTCGCAGCTACAGCTGAACAGCAGTGCCACCTGTGGCAAAGTCCACGCTTTGTACAGTATCCTTGGGCTCTGTCGGAACCCGTCCTTCTCAAGCCAAGTCTATAGTGTATGACCTTGATACAGGAGACCTTTGAATTTTGAGTTTGGGGCCTTTTCTTTAGGGTCGAGGCTTACACTGCCTCTGTCCAGCAGTTTTTCTTCTGATCTCTTAGTCGCTTGTGAATGACCAGAGTCGCCAGAGCATGGTATGCAATGTGGCATCTGCTGTACGAGCATTCATGTTTCACTTCTCTGAAATAGAGAGGAGTAGCTAGGATGACCATGGTTGCGTGAACAAACGGAGGCCCAGCGCAGCCATTCTGGAGGGATGTGAAGGGTAACGGGTCAGCTTGATGCTTTCCGAGAGGCCTTCTCTGCGTTGTGCAGTGCGCGGCCAGCACGAAATGCAGTCATCGCTACTATAGTAGGGAAAATGTGCATGCCTCATACTCTTCTCCGGCTCCGCGTCCCGGACGGTCGGACGCAGTTGGAAGGAGCTGATGCAGGCGCGCATAGACCTGCAATCGCCACAGGTCTCGTGATGCTGAGCACTGCGTGCGCGAACGATGTACTTTGCAAGGCATCGTGCTAGTGTGAAAAACTGGTTGATCAGGCCGACCAGTCACGATCCGGACAGATTGGCGAATGCCGAATGTGGTCCAATCACCTGGGCGTTGAGAACTTGCCGCATGTCTGACACTTCAAGGACACTCTGCACTCCGCAAGCTCGGCAAGCTAAATGACAAATGCACGTTATGAAAAGTCAACTCTTGTTCCGAAAGAAGCAGAGAGCACAGCGAGTTTGCACAGGCCCTCACAGCACAGTTCTGGGCATGTGACCCGATTACGTCCTTCGGCGACTCAGAGCCAGGTCGTTGTTTGATCGAGATGCAGCAGTCCCAAAGTGTCGCATTGTCCACGCGCCCATTGGGAAAGTAAGCTGTGTTGACTGCAGGCATTTTGCCGCAGGATGCGGGACGCCTGGGCTTCGATTGATATACCATCGGAACCGCAGGCAGCACGGACCAGCAACGGCCAAGGGCTCACTTTCCGAGCTGTGTATTTGCGCGGCTTGTGGCATATACCTCCCGTGCTTGCGGTGAGCTCGCACTTGATATGCCCGGTGCTGATGTGCACTGTTGTTCACGGAAGTTGGACCGCATTCGCGGCTTCGGGGTGTCGGAAAACACATTTGCTGCCACGCTTCTCGGGGCCGCACCCATCGCCGGACCCATACCCGGCAGACCGAGCTGCTTGCCGGTTCGTTGAACCGCTGCAGCACAGTAGTTCGCAGGTGAACTCGGAAGGTTCGCCCGGGTTGGGCGTTGCTTGCGACGAGCTCTCGCCGCAAGTATGTCTGTCACTTTCCATGTCAGGTCACGTAATGACTCGTCAGGCATGTTGGTATCGCGGCTTACATTGACAGCGATGCCTCGAGAGCTTCAACTCCGACGTTTTTGCTCACTGTGCCCATTTTGCTTGACCTACAGTGCGCAAGGCTGCTGTTCGCCTCGAGCATGGCCCCGCGGGCTTGCACCGCCATCCGCGCAGTCTCGCCCAACGTCGTCGCGCCGTATGCCGCGGCGCACGATGCGGCCGTCTGCAACAGCTCTTCGCGTGCTGGGGAGACGCCCCGCCGCCGCTCTCGCAGGCTTGCCAGCAACCGTGGCCTCGGCTACCGCACGCCGGCATGCAACCTGCCCTCGAGACGGCATGCTCGGCCCGACAGGCAGGCTTCCTGCCTTCGCAAGCGCTTCGCGGCAGCAGCGTTCCCCACATTCCCGGCCATTGTCGTGCCGTCGGCGCATGCGCGTTGCGCTCCGCGCACATGCTCCCGCCACGGACGCCTGGACCGACCACCGTTCGGCATGTGCCATGTCCGGCTTCCTGGCCTCCTGGGCCTTTCTTCATCTGTCGCGAGGCCGGAGCACAAGTACTGCGGAACGTGCGGGTTGCCGACATGAAGTGCCTGTCAGTGATGCACGTCGCGGAGGTAGTCGACAATGGCCTCCTCATTTGCCATGGCACCCAGCTCGCGATCGACGCCACGATCTTAAGCCCGGTCACGCGAACCCGCTCCGCGTGGCCGGGCACGGACACCCAGAAGGCATAACACTGTGCCACATCACAGCACCATGCAGCACCGCTGCGAGCTGCTGCGTGAGCAGGCTGCGTGCAGAGATAGTCCGGAGAGCTTGCTGTAGCCGTGATGCGTGCTTATACGGCTGGTCTGCTTGAGCTTCCGCCCGTGCTGCTGAGGCTTGCGTCGCGGGTGAAGCGCCGGAACTGCATGCAGATGTGCGGGGCAGCATCCCGCTGACGACCAGCTTTGTGCCAACGCCAACCAAACGCGCTGCATGAGACCCGCCGTAAGCTGCCGTGGAGTAGGCTGCGGTGGACCTTCGCAGATCACTTGCTGCAGACGGAGACAGGCGCTGACAAAAGAAAAAACGGATCTCAACTCATCATCCAGCATTGTTGTTTGTGCCCGTGTTATTACACATTATGATTGATGTTGTCGGACCTTGACACGTGGATGTCGGACCGGAAGGTCCCTGTGAAGGAGATCAGCCCGGAGGTGGGCCTTCTAGCGTACCTGAGCCCTCCGCGACTGTGCGCGTTGGCCTGCGCAGCAGGGGGGGCACTGGAGCGCCGAATCGCCGTGTGTAGTCGCCCAGCGGGTGAGATGGGAGCCCAGCACGCTCTTGCCGCACCGGGCATGCCACTCCGCCCAGCAAGGCTTTGCAAGCACCCTGGCTGCCGCTCCTGTGGCGCTAGGGAACAAAAGCCGGAAGGACTGTCTTTGCGTCTGAACTCCAGTAGTTGTTCCATGATCTGCCGTAGGGTTTCCCAGCCACGATGAACCACTTGCAGGCCGACTTGCTTGCGAAGGTTTTTTTCGAACAAGTTGTGTAAGTAGGGGTTAAAGTGGTCATGCTTTCTCCATTTGCTAGAATTGTTGCACGCCTCAGTTCTTCGTCGGTGAAGATCATGCTTGTGTTGTCACCGCCACAACAGTGCCATGTCCAAAACGAATCCATTCCCCGCGCACTCTTGCGCCCCCAGGCCAGTCCGCGGCCACCGCGCTGATGCCCTTGGAAACCATGCACTGGCTGAAAGGACTGCCTATGGGATGATTGTGTCGCCGCTGACCCGCGACCGGGCCAGCCACAACCCTGCACCGCGGCGCACGACGGCGCCATGCTGCGGGTTGCCACGCGGCGCAAGCGAGCCGCCTACCTCAGCTCCGGAGGTCCGCAACGTCTTCGTTCTCGGCTTCGAGATAGGCGGGCGCTGGAACGAAGCAGCGCAGCGGCTCTGCGGATGTGCGCGTTCGAAGGGAATGGGCCCACACGCGAGCCAGCTCCCGGGCCCGGAGCTAGACCGTGTTCTCGACCTGGCCGAAGCAGCGGGGCCGAGCCGACTGCCGCTGCGCTAGCCGAAGTCGGGCCATACGACCCGTGGATTTGACTAGCGTACAGGATAGCGCGACCCCGCTGGACCCTCGTCATGCATACGGAAAACGAAACACAGGAGGAACCGGCAGGGACAGGTGCCGGCAAACAAATTCCGTGCACGCTAGCCGAGTGTGCACCTCTCTGTGTCTGGCGCACGCCCTCGTGCGAACTCACGACTTTTCTCTCTTTCTGCTGTCACAAATAACACAGTCGCTATTTCCCATGTAGACGCTCGATTCCGGATGCCCGCATGCAAGGCAAACATCAGTGGCATCACAGCACAACCAAGCCATTTTTTTTCGAGTGCGAACGTAAGCTGTCCCCACGATTCTGAACTTTCGGATCCTCCGCCTCCGCCGCTTTCGCCTCCCACTGGGGGTTGGCCCGCGTGCCTGCTCCTGCCGAGGCCTACTCGGTGAGTACGGCGACCACCGCGCCGCTTGTGCCACGTCTGGCATCCTCGCCTCCCGAGCCGTTCCGATCGAGCGGGCCATCACGCGGGTTTGCCAAGAAGCCGGAGCCCGCGCTAGTCGTAACACTGCTTTGGCGGCCATGAACCTCGATGTGCCTATCCACGATGGCCGGCGCACCGAGGTCGTATGTAACGGCCTCCTACTCTGGCATGGGGCCCAGCTTGCCGTCGACGCTACGCTGGTAAGCCCTGTTTCTTGGGATGGCCGACCATACCCCGGCACAGAGACCCAGCCAGGCCTTGCTA